ATATATATATATATATATATATATATATATATATATATATATATATATATATATATATATATATATATATATATATATATATATATATATATATATTGGATCAATTACAAATTTAAGTGCATGATTTGAGCATACGATTGAGGAGATCTCTCCCTCACCTGTATAAATACGTATAACATCAATGAATGAAATTATCTCCTTCATAACAAAATTCTTCATGCAAAGACTTTTCTTTTTCTTTATTCTCTTATCCCTTCCTCATCGAAACCCATTAATCTACCTAGTGCCAGGAATCTCTTTGCCATTTGCTGCCATTGTTGTCACTGCAATAGTAATCCCTTTCTGGGTTATCTGCACCAATATCAAAGTTTCTCGATGGAGTCTCCTTCCTCGTCTTCTTTACCATCAACATGTTTTATCCATCGTTGCCCCCTCTTTAGGAGCCTCGATTGTAACCATGACTTTTCATCTCTTTCTTTCCTGTCATTCTAACCCCATCCACGACTCCCTCTCCAACCGTTGCTAGTGGTTAGAGCTCATCAACCGCTTTGCCTTCTCCCGCCTAGATTCCCTCATAGATACCGACCTTGTCCTAGATCTACGAATCGCTCAACACCCCAATAAGTACCTCACCTACTTTCATATTAATTATGCGACTATCATCGCAGCCATCCTCACCATCTCCACAACCGATCATTGGCCTTCTCGTCAGCCACAAACGTCGCTATTAACTTCATTGGTGTCCTCAAATGCTTTCTTCCATATAGATGCCAGGTTTACTAATTAAACCTCCCTCGATGCCTCCTTTAGCTAGTCGTCTACCTCCTCTATTCATGCTCCTTACATTTGCTATCATCATTAGCAATCAATAGCCTCATTCACATAGTATCAACGACTCCTCTCTGATGACAAATCACATCATTCGGTGGATAGCTTGACGATCATTCTCCTCTCCTTATCATAAAACACCAACCATCACCACTGATTACTTTGCTCAGCGATCTTCATCCCAACTTGCAACATCCATCACAGATCAGAAGAAGGGCCTTCTCTAAATCTCCCCCAACAATAGATCAAATCTCTACCATATACCAGATCATTGGTTGGTTCAGATCTCCACCATATACCAAATCATCGGTTAGTTCTAAAATTTTTTTTAGATTACAGCATCTTCTCAATATGCCTTTCACTTTTACATCTGATGCTCTAAGCATTATTTCCTCATGAAATAATAATTCATCTTAACTTATAAGACTTATATCTATCAATACAACAACTCTGATCCCCTTCAAACTATTTAAAAGTGGCAATTATGCATCTTGGCAAGCATAATTCATCAACCTCCTACTTGGATATGATCTACTATGCTACATTGACTCTCTTAATAGTCCACTAGAAAAGATTCAAATACTAGGAGAACTCATCCTAATAATAAATCTTGATTATAAGTTATGGTTATGACAAGCTTATCTTATTCTACAAGTCATTCAAGTCTTAGTCGCTAGCTTCGTAGCATCACTAATCTCTTCATCCAGTACTATAATAGAAGCACGGTCCAAGTTACAAACCACCCTCACCAATTATTTTCACACTTGTATACTAAGTCTTTTTATCTATGCTGATAAAAACAAGAAAGTACTATTGCTGATTGTATATAAAATCTAAAAGTTATCATAGATGATTTGGCTTTAAAAGATCATCCCCTAAGTGATGAAGAAATTATTGTTCATATTCTCAACGGCCAAGGAGATGAATATAAGAAACTCACGATAGCAATTTAGGTATGTGACTTATCAATATCATTTGAAGAATTATATGATAAGCTGTATGATCATGAAATATATATGAAAGGGGAAGAGAGGAAGACGTAACCAACTATAATAGTTTCATTCAATTAAAAATCTAAAGATAAAGGTAATCAAAGCAATAAAAACTTCAAATGATTGAATAAGATGAATCCTAGACACATGAATAATATACAGAGTCATCATCCTCTATTATACTATCAACTCTCCAACCATACTAGCAACTTCAATCCAAAGAAATAACTTCAACTATAACTATTAATAGTTCTAACATCTCAATAACAATAATCAATAAAAAAAGTCATCTATCAAATCTGTGACAAAATCGAACATAGAGCAAAAGTTTATCGATTTCGATCTAAACCTACTACTACACCTAATTGACCTCAAGCAAACATTATGATTACTCCAACTACTTATCAGATAAGTAATTGAATTATTGACTCTAGTACTTCGCATTATATCATAAGTAATTGAATTAATGACTCCAATACTTCTCATTATAGTCAATATGAAAAGATCATCATTGATGCCCTATCATTCATCTTTGTGTTCTGTAAATTATCCTAGTTCATGCATCGACCATCTACTATGCATTGGTCTGCAGTCAAACGAATTTTGCGGTATCTTCACGGGACTATCAATCATGGTCTCTTTTTTCGCAAACACTCCCCCCTTAATCTCCAGGCCTTTGCTGATGCTGATTGGGTAAGGAATTTTGATGACAGAACATCCATGTTGGGGTATATTCTCTTCCTTGGATCTAATTAAATCAGTTGAAGTTCTAAGAAGCAAAAGACAGTTGCACGTTCTACAACTGAAGCTGAATATCGTGTCATAGCCACCATTGCTGCAGAACTCAATTGGGTCATGAATCTCCTCAAGGAACTTGGCATCAACATCACCTCTACTCCTATAATATATTGTGATAATGTCGGAGCCACTTATCTATACGCCAATCTAATATTCCACTCACGCATGAAACGCATAGCCATCGACTTTCACTTCGTGCGAGAACAAGTTGTCAGACATCAACTACGTGTTTCTCACATACATACGACTGATCAACTAGCGGACTCTCTCACAAAGCCTCTCACCCGCAAATTGCTTTCATCACATCGGTCTAAGATCGATGTCCTTGACAGAAGCACCATCTTAATCCTCCTCTGTTGAGGAAAATTCTCACTTCTAAAATGTATAAATAAGGAGTATCATATTGTTTCAAACTCAATGTAATCTTTCTCCTCATAATTCCTTAATAATTATCGAAGAAGCTTGATTGCATTCACATGTCTCTCTCCTATTTATACAGCAAATCTGAACTTATCCAGAATATGCATCAAAACAAACTCCCTTTAGCTAGTCAAGTTTGTAAAAGGTTCTCTCGACGAGCTTTGGTTTCTCAGTAGCATTTTGGATGACAGTTTTCCTTTCTTCTTATCTTAACGTAACCAATTTTGTTCACGTCTCTATGACACATCAATAGATCTTCATATACCATGTGTCGGTACATTTAGTATAGTTCGATATGACTCTGTATGTATCGTATCGATAATTGATTGATATATCGATACAAATTGGTAAGACGAATCTTTTTTTTTTTTGTATGGAAAGGCTATTTCTAATATTTGATCTTCAAAATAGTGGAAATGTGCAGAAGAAATTTGTTGGGAAAAAGAAAACCTAACATCTTAAACAAATCTACAGAGGTATTTGATATATGCCTACAGAGGTATTTGATATATGCAATATTTAATGGAACAAACCCACACCCCTCTCAACAATACAAAAGCCTTCAAACAAACCCTCTTATAGTCCACAACACCTCATTGACCAATTCTTGTTCACAATTGATATCGACATCTCCTTTAGAAAGATGAACACAAGTTGTAGGATGCATTACTACCACCTTGAAAAATCTTTTGCAGATCCAAGTGTTGTTCCTTCTCAGTCTATCAATTCCTTCTCTGCGAGCCCAACAGGTTCGGAAGTGGAAGCAGCCATTTCATCTACATTTTGCTGGTGATAGACTTGCTTTAGTCTCTCAACCTCTTTCTTCAACGCCTCTTGATGTGCTGCAGCATCACATGAAACCACACTCACTCACTCACGTAAATCACATTACCAAGTCATGCAGTACTTTTCTTTCGTGCCGAAAGAAAATAAAACTAGATTACTAACTTAACCGGATACAACCATCCTCTCTGCTATCCGAGGAGATCAAAACCTCCCGTTCATGAGGAAGAGAAACATCCCAAAATCGGTCACACTGATTGACTCTTGCAAAATTCCCCAA